CAACTATCCGCGAAGGTGGCCACAGGTCGTCCGAGATCATTTCGGGTTCCGAGAGTTATCGCTGCTATCAAAAGGAAGATTCAGGTGAATCCAGTGCGTTCAATAAGGAAAATGGCAGAAGAACATGGGATCAGTGACTTTACCGCACGGAAGATCGTAAAGGAAGATTGCGGGGCGAAGTTGAGGGCACGGAAAAAAACTTACATGATTACCAACCGCATTCGGGAGCTACGAGTTGAACGATGCAAGAAAATCTTGAACTTCCTTAAGCGAAAAAATCCGGTAATCCTGTTCACCGACAGCATGTTTACCGTCGATCCCGTATCAAATTCCAGAACCAACCGGTATATTAGTTCTCTTCCGGTAAAAGACGTGGCCGACGAGCACAAGAACGTGTATCTGACCAAGCATCCTGCTAGCGTTATGGTGTTTGGATTGATGGCTGCCGATGGCAAAAAATGGACCCGGTGTTCATTCCAGAAGGTGACAAAGTCAACACGGAAGTCTACATCGGGATTTTTTTATATAAGAGGTTTTCAGCCTAAAGACTGGTTCGCCAAAATACATCGGTATTTTAAGTAAGTATGTTCTTCCGTGGATCAAAGAACAGTCCGGTACGAAGCCAAATGTTGTATTTCAACAAGATGGGGCTCCGTGGCACACCTCGAACCACACTCAGAAGTGGTTGCAGGAACATCTTCCGTTCTGGGCGAAGGGTATGTGGCCGCCATCCAGCCCCTATCTTAATCCGCTGGAATACTCAATATGACGCGTCATGAAGGCCAAGGCCTGTTCTAAACGCCACCCGAGTACAGCAAGCCTCAGACAAACATTGACCCTAACCTGGAGAGAAATGGATCCAGACTACATTATTAGAACCTGCTGTGCATTCCGGAAGCATGTGGAGGCCGTAATTGCAGCAAGTGGAAACTCGATCAATGATAAACATAGTTTAAGCTCTAAGAAACATTCCCCCTTTGAATAAATAAAAAAAAAACTCGAAAACGATTTTTTTTTAATTTTGACATTGCTTAACGGTGCAAACATTATCACGCATCACAGCAAAAAAATAATTTTAATATCACATCAAAGTGGATGCACTTCAATCGTGTCGAAAATATAGTGTAATATTACTTGCAAAAAGGATAAAATTATCATTAATACAGTGCATGAGCTGACATTACGCGGCTTTTACTGTATTTGTTTATTTTTGTAGCCATACAAATTACATGAGATTTTCGACATGATTGAAGTGCATCCTCTTGGATGTAATATTAAAATTTATTTTTTGCTGTGTACGGTATATGTAATGTATATGTAATGTATATGTTATCCATCGCAAACGTATTTGTTGATGCCAGAATACCTTTTTTTTAAAAGGTCTTCAAATACCAATCCAGTAACTCTTTTAGATCACGTTTTGCTATGTTGATATATGTTTGATATTTTACAAAATATTACGATAGCTGAATAGTATCAAAACAAGGTTTTATACCACAAGCATACCAAAATAAGGTATCATGCCTCTATAAAGTATACATATGTTATTGGTTAGTTATCGGGTCTTGCTCGGGTGTACCTTACTTTGATTTACAAAATCAATAATATTTTTGGTGTGTCTCGTCAATGCGAATTTAAGAAAAATTAATTGGCATGACATGAGCAGTCCTTCAATCGGTGCTTCAGCCATAGAACTCCTCTTCGTTCTGGTAGGATTCTATGGAAGATGTGGCTCTCCACCATCGTTATATAAGCGAGATTCTTCCAGATGACTGATGATACTCTGACCAACTTGATTGTCCCATCATCTCGATTTAAGATGAAGACTTGTCACCCACCATAGCCAGTCGAACTCCAGACGAAACTAGAACCACAATACCGTTCATACTGGTGACAACGCTCTGATGAGACAACGAAACCTTACCCCCAAGCTCCTCCCCTGATCATATCCTTCGACAATGTACCCCTCTAACCTCGAGTAAGCCGCGAGTATTCGGCCCAACTCCTACTAGACATAGAATTAATTGAATTTTGTTACAAACAAAGAACAATGAATTATCGGCTCCGTAAAGCTAACGCGATTGAGCCTTACAAATAAACGAACGAGATAAAAAAAAAAGATGACGATTTATAGTAATTTTATGTATTTTTTTTAATTCATTCGAATTTGTTTGGTCAGCACGTTTAACCAATTGTTTGTACATTGTGGTCAATTAGACCCCAGGCAATATTTGCAATCTTGATTATTAATCAAAAAGATTGTTCTATGACATTTTTGCCTTGATCTGCCTGTCTCTTTGTTGAGACATATTTCAAATATTATGCAGGGTAGGTGTTCCAGTAATAGTGGTGTACCTATAGTTGCGGTATGGAGGTTGTGCCTGAATAGTGAGGAGGACCCGGATAAGATTATTTTTTTTCGGTAGCTGTCCTAAAATAAAGCATATTTGCATATTTCAAACTTAAAAATAGCCCAAAAATTACGGAAAATCAGTAATTTCCCTTACGATTTTCACTCCTTTCCACTTATAGTTGCGGTAGTGTTGCTATAATAGTGAAACCCATAAGAAACCAACGCATTCCACTATTATAGGAACCAAAGTTAGCAACTACCACAACTAACAGTGTTTCTAGTTATTAATGGAGGATGAGTTTTCTAAAATTGTATGCAATTTTATTACAATGTTATATGTTTCTATCAAAATAGAGGTTGAAAGCTATAGATTGACGTATAACAATTGTGTGTACATCGTATATTTATTGTTTAACTAATAAAATGGCTTAGTACCTCCTCTGCTGGCTCACCCACCCTAATACATGTTTTGAACACGCAATAGATTCCACACATTTTTATTGGCTAACTTCCATGTAATATTATTCATGTGCCCACACTCTAACAGAATCCACTTGAAATTTATGTGTCAAATAGTATGTATGGCCACGCCACACATGGCTTTTATGTGTACAGAGACCGACGTTAAATAAAGGAAAAGAAGTTTTTCCCTTAATTTCTTCCCGCACCATAACTTTCAAATTTGAGAAAAAAAAATGCTTGAAAGACATATTCGATGATATTATGTTGATGAATTACACACAACTGACTGTAAAATAGTAGTAGTAAAATTTCGTTTATTTCTGTTGATTATGGTGTATAGATTGATTTTACATTTCAATTGATTAGCCTATCTGCACAAGAGTGGAACTTCGGATCAGAAAGTGGCTGCACTTGTCATTTGCGAACACTAGCGCACCTAGCGGTAGAAGGCATCTTCTGCCTGCAGTTAAGATAGGCAGCATCCTATGATAGTGTGAGTGCCCATAGAAAGACCGTGTGGAGCGCTGCCACAATACATCGCTTGTGTAGCAGAAAAACGAACCACCTTTTGATTCACAGATTTGTTTGCACTTCCTCTTCTTTCTGTGCTATCCGTGCTATCTGACTCTTCATCTTTGTTCATTGGATATTCTAATTTAGTATTTGCGTATTTCATCTAGTTAATAGAATACCCCTTGGGGGGGGGGGGGTGTTTTGTTTTAATTGAAAAATTTGATAACCTACCTAACTACGAGTCTAACTTAACTAACGTGCCAGATCACGTATGATCTGAAGATCTGATCTCAGACAGGTGTCTCTGAACCTTTCCAAGGAGACTGTTTGTCGCTCATCGAGAGGCTGAAGGCCAGTCAGGCGGTGAACCTCAGAATTTCGGGTCCTGGACTGTTTAGGATCATCCTTAGGATCTTGTTCTGGAGTTTTTATGTGTTCCACACATGAATTGTTGCAACGTGATCAACAAATCAATATCTATGTGTCGGCCACATACTTAATATATTATGTACATATAAAAACCATGCGTGACCACACATACTATTCAATTGCGTATAAATGTCATGTGTACTTCTGAGTGGATTCTGTTTATGTGTGGTCAAATGAAAATCATGTGGAATTTCACATTTATATATTTGTCAAAAAAAAATTTAAATTGTTTTGAGTGAACCATAACCGAAACATTGAAATACTTGAAAATTTTAAGATAAAGTATAATAGTCAAAAATGCATGAAAACATCAATTTTGTGTGGTTCTACGTCATACTGCGGTCGTGTCTAGGACACAACCCTTTAATTATTTTTATCCTGCTAGTAACATATCTCTAAATAAAATTAAAGTCTCAAAGTCTAAAAAATATTCAACATCATTTTAGAATAATGAGCATTTTTTAATATAGGAATATTTAAGATTTTGTAAATTCTTGCCAAAATTTTCAATGTCCAAGCTCACCAGAACTCTTCACCAGATTGATTTCAAGTTCTAGATTTTTAAACAATTCCTAACCTAACTTTTCACAGTTTCGTATTATAACCCATTCAGCCCGATACTGCTTGAGCTAGTGGTCTGTGATTTCTTGTCATGATACTGACTTCCAAGACTTCATACTTAAAATATTTAAAATTTGGGACTAATTCGTTACAATCTACAAGCTTAGAAAATTTTCAAAGAGCTTAAACTACCCATAAATTTAAGGATTCCAGTTACGGCTATGGTGAATAGCATTTGTTGCATCGAAATATGTGCTAAAAGGTTGTCAATTTTATGAAAAGGTATAGTAGAAGTTTGCCCATCATAGACCATATACGCGAAGTGTTTATGTTAGTCGAATCTAAAGGACATTACAACTATTTTCGCCTTCATTTTACAGGTATTCCACAATGGATACCAACATTCATCAGAATTTTTAAACTGGCAAGTTATATTAAAATACACTCCAAAATCTCACTTTATGGCCATTTTAGCTGAAACTTTGTACAGCAGTTCAAATATGGACAGGCAAGTCCCACCTATTACATCCCACAACTCGGGCCACCCTCGCGTATAAGTTTGTAAGCGCGCCTCGGCGGCACTCAACACGCGAACCATCCTCGCTCCGGCGACGTACACTTGGTGCTTATTGTGTTTGCCGTTGACTCTCGGTCGCCCGCCTTCATCAGTCTAGAAGTTCATCGTTCAACCTGCGGACGTGTTTTCGTTACGGGCTCCGAGAAGCGTTCAATCATCGGACGGGGCCACCAGCTAGTGGTTAATGTAATGTACTGTGGTTGTGTGGTAGCAGCTCAACAACAGTGGTAGCAGGGCGTTGGCAATACAACCAAGTGTTTCAGGTGACCGACATTTGCTGCGGAATCGTTTGCCCAGAAAAAGAAGACCAGAACCCTTTCGCTGGCCCTTATAGGTACATATGACGGGCACCGCTGGTTGGCGAAATGTAGCGGAATCTTATCAGGAAGTTGAGTTAGATAGCTAAACTTACTGATAAGCTGTGTGGTACAAGGTGGAATAGCGAAAAAATCGATAAAATACAGGTGAATGAATAATCAGTGTCCGAGCCGTCGTCGGTGGTGCTAACATGTTATATTTTACCACGGTCCTGCGGAAATTGTGCAACCATGGTCTGAGAAAAATAGTTTAGAAAATAAAAGTTCATTGTTCTGCACGGTGTGTTGGTTTTGAAGTTTACGCATGGAATGCTTTGGAAGAAAAGTGAATGGAAGGCTTAATCAGAGTCCGTTATATCCCACGATGAATAATGCATTATTAAAAAGCAGCAGCATCAAGCCATACCTAGGTTGTGAAGGTTTTTTAAAAATGAAGCCGAAAGCTGAGATGATTCAAATGATTGCCATCGAAAAACGAGTTCAGTCATAACCATAGGTAAGCCTAGCACCATATTGAAGCCCTTTGAAATTGATGACGTCACGTAAGCCATCAACGCAGCGTTCGAAAACCTTTCCGGAGCATTTTAATCTTAATCGAACGTGAAACATTATTAAGCTGGAAGAAAGGAAAAGAGACAGCGAAAAAGGCATACGAGAGCTCTTTTTTAGTGATGGAAGTCAAAAACCTGTTTTTCCACCTTTTTGCGCTCGGTTGAGGCATCAGTATGAGTGGTAACTACCCTATACCGTAGCCAGTTGGTTGGCTGCTCAGATATCTTTGTGTGCGGATGAAACAACATTACGTTCATCCAAATTGACTTCTTGTGGAATCAAAAGGCAATGCAAACAAGAGTAAAACAACCCAGCAGGTTGTATTAGCTGAGAATCAAAACAGTATCTTAGGTTTTGTTATCGCTATGTTCTCCTTTGGCAATCAAAACAGGAACATTTTTATTCTCCACCAGTAGGCGCAATTTTTGAAGGGTAGATAGCATGTATCTATTCAAATATCAACATTTTACAAACGGTGTTATATTATATTATTTTACATATAATTATTGTATTATTTGTATTAGTTTGCACATACAAACCAGTCATGTTTTACTAAGCGTATTCTACTATTGCTGTACAATATAATGAGGACTGATTCAATTGAATTGCAAAGATTTTTTTTTCTAAAATGACAGTATGCAAAAAAAGTTTATCCAATTAACAATTTATTTTTTTTTTTTTGTTTTTCTGGTGAAAATCAGTTTAATTTTATGAGTGTTCCTCCATGATTTATCAATTTATGTTTATTTATCACATTGCCATTGAAAATACGGTGTTTATACAATTATGACCCCACCCCCAAATGGATACTACGATTTAAGTGTGTTTTACAGAATTTTAGTGTGTATTATGCCACTTTCTCGAATATAAACATTGTGTCTAGCTGTCATTTAGCGCTCTTGAAGTTTTCGTGCTCAAAATTGGAAGTTATTTGTTGTAAAATGCCCAAAAAAGCACAAATTTCTATCAGTATCCGAAATTTGATTATAGAACATCACAAAACTGGCAAAAGCTATCGTGATATTGCCGATATTGTCCAGCTTCAGAAAGATACGGTCGCTAGAATTGTGCAGATGTACAAAAAGCGTGGTTCTATCTCACCAGCTAATCAATTTCAAAGACAACTGGCCGAATTGACAGAGCTATCGTTAAAAAGGCGGAGCTGGACCGCAATATTGCCGATATCGTTCAGTTTACTCATAATCGCAAAAAGTGCAGGAGCACAGCGAAGAGTAAATTTTCTCATGTTTTCCTATGGAAAACCTAAAAATTCTTCCGCAAAATGTGGAAAAATTACGAAAATTTTATTCAGTCTAGGAGTAGTAGAAATAGACTAAATGAATCCAATCTTAACATATCTCATGTTTGGGAATTTTTTTTTCTGTAAAACCTGGAAAAATATGAGGCAATTTTACTCATCGCTGAGATCCTGCACTTTTTGTGATGTAGGGTTTTTGATCTAATTTCCGTCCTACTAAGGACATCCCGCACTTTACCACGCTTTTTGGAAAGGGTTTGAACAAAACATGGAATGTTTTCATCAAAGATAACTTCTAAATTTATCCACCTTTCCATACATACCGTTGGATTTGATAAAGAGTCAAACAATGTTGAGATATTATTAAAAATCTAACACTGCTTCTTGCTTCTAAATTCGTCCTACGCGTTTCAATTCCGTCCAAACGCATTGAAACGCCATTAGATTCCCTTCGTCCTACGGATAAACGGAGAAAAAGGGTATGCGCTAGGAGCGCTTCTTTTGTTTTGAGAACAATGAGCGTAAATATGCATACAATGCGCTCTAATAGGATTTATGTTGTAGCTAATGAACTAACGCATCGGAACAAACGTATTATTGTTTTGTGCATTGTGAAATCATTGATATTATTGATGATTTCTGCTCGATAGAACGGAAATGGGCGATTACGACGAAGTAGCGCTCTTCCCTATGACTAATCTAAACTAAAATTTGGGCAGCAGGCGAGTAGTCCACAAGTTCCACGAGGAAGTAACCTTTTCAACTGTATGAAAACATTAATCGCAGCGGAGTCAGTGAAAATTATTCCGACTCCTAATCCTTTAAATTATGCCAGTCTACTGTGACTCCGACTCATAGCCAATATATTTATGAAAAATATTTTAATTATTTCATGGTTGTACACTAGAGGGAGTCAACATTATACGGTGGATCACAAGCCGCGGCTACCCACATAAAATACCTACTTAAATTTAATTTCCTGTAGAAACAGGTACTCCGCTGCTTACTCGTTGATGTGTCCTAGGTAGTAACTTGAAAAGCCATGTGTGTCCGATTCCCTGATCCTTGTTGAGTAAAGTTGAATTCCGTTGTTTGCTGATCTCGAGGCTCTCTACAACATCCAATTTCCACGGTATAGATGCGTTCCGTAAAATCGTGATGTCCTCCGTCGATAGTTGATGTTCCTCTGTGAAGATGTGTTCTGCAACCTTTGATTTGAAATCATATGTTAGGCCTTTTTCCTCGTGCTTTTTGGCCTTATTAACCTCCGCTATATGTTCTTTAAATCTAGTTGCTAAAGTTCTCTTGGATTGTCCTACATATACTTTGTTACAATGATTACAGCTTATTTTATATACACCTGCTTTACCTAAAACATTAACTGGGTCTTCAGTGGATCCTAACAATGATTTCAACTGGTTATGTCTACTGGTGAAAACTAAATCTAATCCGAATTTTTTTAACTGTGGTCTTAGCTTATAAGTAATATCTTGATCAAATGGAACGGACACTCGTTTCAAGAGTTCAGGTGCTGCGGTGAGGGTTGTAAATAATCTCCTTTGTAGAATTCTCGCTTTTTTATCGATGATTGCCTGGATTATGGTCTCCTTGTATCCGTTAAGTCTCGCTGTTTCGAAGATGTACTGTAATTCCTTAACCTTTCCTGTATCGCTGAGTGAAAGAGTCTGCATCCGATGAATCATGTGGTGAAAGGTGGCCATTTTCTGCTGGAACGAATGGTTGGAAGTATAGGGGATAACTTTTTTGGTGCTTGTTGGTTTCCCGTAAATTTCGAATTCAAGCAAAGAAGATGATGCCGATTTCCTGATGAATAGAAGATCGAAAAATGCGAGTTTTCCGTCTTTTTCTACCTCGTGATTGAATTTGATATCCTTGAGAATTCTGTAAATCTCATCTCAAATTTGTGGAAGGGCTTCCCGTTTAACTACGCTGAAGATATCGTCAAGAAACCTCCACCAACGGTTTGGTAATAGTCCTTTCTCATTCAGGATTGTCTCGAAGTTAGCAACTACACAGCAAAAAAATAATTTTATTATCGCATCAAAAAGGACAAAATTATCATTAATACAACTGACATTACGCTGCTTTTACTGCATTTGTTTATTTTTGTGGCCAGAAAAATTACATGAGATTTTCGACGTGATTGAAGTGCATCCTCTTGGATATAATATTAAAATTTATTTTTTTTTCTGTGTAGGAAAAAATGTCAAGATCACAGGTATAAAAATGAAACTACAATGTGTTGAATCGGAACCTACCTAACTAATAAAAACCAAAGATTTAAGTAAACTAAAGGAGAAAAATCTATTCAACTCTCTAATAAGGAAAATCCCAAAGGCTTGGTAGCCATCATAATGAAGTAATTAAATTGGTTTGTTAGCGGAATGCTTTAAATAAAACAGGAAAAAAGGTTATCTTCCATTTAATTCCACTTAATTAATTTTGGTATCCATTTTTTTTTTTCTTTGGTTTGTTTTTTTTCGTCGATCTTGTTTTCCGTGCTGAGCACCAATGCTACCGACGTGCCAGGAAGGCAGCTCCCACACCTGGACCCTACCTATCGACCCATCAACTCATGAACCGGGGACCAACGGCTTTACTTCCCATCCGAAGGAAGGCGTGATCAGAGATGTTATGCCTCAGAACATCCCGGCGGCGCCGACTGGGATCCCAGGCCTGCTGGGGTGAGAGGTAATCACGCTTACCACTACACCACCGGCGCCGTTAATTTTGGTATCCATGACAGATACGTATTTCGACTACAATGTGCAGTCTTCATCAGTGTTATTCTCACTAAAGAACTTATAAACCTCGTCATCAGTGCTGCTAAATCTCGGCAATACACGGCATTATTCAAAGTTCTGCTGTGACCAATCATTTGAGCTAACAGTCATCGCCAAGACAAACTATGTCAATGCACTCAGAATGCACGAAATTACATTTTTTGTTACCAGGTCAAACAATGACAAATCATTGGCGAAAAAATGATTGAGATTTTGACAAAGGTTTTTTTGAAGATCAAGTCTATCGGTGACTACACAGCAAAAAAATAATTTTGATATCACATCAAAGTGGATGCACTACAATCATGTCGAAAATTTCATGTAATTTTCATGACCACATAAATAAACAAATGCAGTAAAAGCAACGTAATGTCAGTTCATGCATTGTATTAATGATAATTTTGTCCTTTTTAGCAAGTAATATTACACCATATTTTCGACATGATTGTAGTGCATCCACTTTGACGTGATATCAAAATTATTTTTTTGCTGTGTATGTGAAAAACAATTTTGTCAATATCGCACGGTAGTATGTCAATGACAATGACAAATCAAAATAAAACGTTATGCTTTCAAAGTTCTTATATTTTTTCAACTTTCTCGTTGGCATGATGTTAAATTATTACTATAACAATTATATCCTAGCTAATGTTGGTAAAACAAGCGAGTGAGACAAAACTATAAAATCTCAAAGCAAAAATTCACAATGTTTTAAATAATTTCCCTAAAATTAAAAAAAAAATATATTGCATCATTATTTCATGTGGAAAACGGATTATTTTCCAGTCAAGGGGCAGTTTGAAAAATTAAATCTTTCAGAATCTAATTTTTTGGGTTTTCATTTTTTTCCAAAATTTTTAAACGTAATAAAATGTACCGATTTTTTTTTTTTTTATTTTCGCTGCGGTAAACTTTCCCTTGATAAACCGAGCTAGGAATGATATCGAAATAAGGAGGTAAATTTTGGAAATTTTTATGGACAAAGAGGATCTCCATCGGATTAGGAAGAGATCAAATAACGGAGAGTTGACTGTAAATCTTCCAAAATTATCATAGGAGTCGGAGTCGATCAATTTTCATCCGACTCCACAGCCCTGCTTCCAACTAACAAATGAGCAGTTCCATGCCAAATAGCAAAAAACAATGAATTGTTGACTCGATCTTCTCCGATTTGCATGAAATTTTGCAAAATTTTTTGTTAAGGGCAATCATTCACATTTTTGCTAAAATCCGGCCATATTTTCCAAAATGGCCGAATTTTAGCAAAATGTGAATGATTGTCCTTAACAACCAATTTTGCAAAATTTCATGCAAAACGAAAAAGCAGCAGCAGAACTTTGCTATTGGAATTGATTGATTTCAAACTTCTGACGCAAATCAGAGACTTTTAAAATGTATTAACTTGTTTATTTTGCAAACAAATGTTTGTATCTCTTTTTTTAAAGAAATTATACCCAATATAACTTAATACCTATTTAAAAAAAAATAAAAAGTCTAATTGATTTTATAAGCGTTTAAATATTAAAATATAATTTTATCGAATCAAGTACTTCAAGCCCTTCCCAATGCTGTGATTTGACAGTTTTTGCGTACTTGCCCCATGCTGAGTAATTAACATTTCAAAAGGACGTATTTTATAAAAAAAAATCGGGAATATCGCGTGATCTTTATTTTGCAAAAATGTACATTTTAACAAATCCTAAAAGTTACTTCAAGATGGAATTCACGAGAAATTAGAAAAAAAGAAGATTTGAGCTAAAAATCTACACCCAACCGGGGGATGTAAGATTCGCTTACAATTATGAGAGATTCATCATCGCAGGACCGTGGAGACCGCACGAACGGAGGATGAGTTATATCGAACTGTGGTCCAATGCAAGGAAAATGTGGAGTGTAATGAATTATGTCTAAAACAATAGACTGTACTCGATCCACGAACGTTGCGATTATCAAACCTGTACTTTCTCCACTGCTCTCTCAATGCTTCGATAATTTGCTTTCGTATGCTTTTTCTGCCGAACGGGCATTGGAGATAATCAAGGCAAGTTTTTGCGGCAAGGCAATGCTATAAATAAAAAGCTTGCTGGTACAGTTAAAAGCGTACAAAGAACACGAAATAACAAAGATACAAAGCCATCACATCGTTTGCATGGTCAACATATATCATTCAATGTGTTGTTCACTGCGGAGGATGATAGGAAATGCAACTGACATTCAATGTAATACATTTTTGGTTTGCATGTAAGTTTTTGAGGTACACCCTAATTTAATTCTGATAAATTATTCTAAAATGAGATACGGTGGGTGAGCCAGTAGTGGTGGTTCTAAGCCAATTTATCAATTAAAAAATAAATATACGATGTACACACAATTGTTATACGTCAATCTATAGCTTTCAACCTCTTTTTTGATAGAAAAATATTACATTGTAATACAATTGCACAAAATTTTAGAAAGATCGTCCTCCATTAATAGGAACACTGTTCCAGTAGTTGTGGTAGTTGCTAACTTTGGTTCCTATAATAGTGGAATGCGTTGGTTTCTTATAAGTTCCACTATTAAAGAAACACAAAGAAGTGAAAATCCTAAGGAAAATTAATTATTTTCCGTCACTTTTGGGCATATTTACAGTTTGAAATATGCAAATATGCTTTATTTTAGGAGAGCTACCGATGAATAATAATCTTATCCGGATCCTTCTCACTATTCCGGCACAACCTGCATACCGCAACTATAGGTACAACACTATTACTGGAACACCTACCCTAGTTTGAAGATAGATAAAATGTTTCTTCAACAAAGTTGTATGAAATTAACTCAGCTACAAAAAAAAACTGCTGAAGATCATATATCTTTATTTACAAAAACAAGAATGATAGTTCAACGGTCTATCCTTAATGTTTACAACCACCAAAAGAAGAAAATTTTAAGGTACAGAAATTTCACCGAAGATATCAACAAAAGTTCTAGAACCGTTTTCCAACTAAGTTCCAATCCTGGATCTCTGTGCAATGAAAGCATTTTTTTTTCTAAATGTTGCAAACACATCGGATTCAAATGACGTAAAAAGGTATTGTTTGATTCGACTGCAAACAATGATGCCAACGTCACCACTCATGACGGATGTTATAACATGTTATAACTCTGGAATCTGAAAATTTACCGCTGAAAAGCTTAGGTTATCTAGATGAAATTTTTCTTGTTGATAATTATAATAACATGTTATAACTCTGTAGTCCAAATAGGAAATATGTTCTATTTCTCGGTTGGGTGGCATAAAAATCTTGTGATTTGAAACTTGCATACTCAACTAATTTTAAGTCTATTCCCACAGCACAATGTATAAACTTAACCGTTTCTTGTTTAGCTACCAACACCCCAAATGTTTTCCTAACAGGGAAAGGCAATTTCTTCAAAACAGTTTCGCTTTTACCTGCCCGTTGCAATCTCCTCATAATATTATGCTAACGACAGACAAACCCGACTGGTGGCTGCTTCCTGGTTTAATATTTACTTTTCCTATGCCAATTCACTCTGGCATTTTCGTTGACGCGCTCGAACGCCATTACCTGCTGCTTGGAGAAGGGTGCTGAGCATGTCTATATTTCCGATTTATTTCATAAAGTAAACATTACACAGCAAACAGCGCACCGGTAACCTACATTCTACTTCGATGAAATAACATTCTGTCGCCATTCGCCAAGGTAAACAAGGTTACATCAAAGTGCAACAAACACAGGTTGTTATGAGAAACCAGGTGCCAAACTAAGTCTACCGGGTTGTGAATCATAGTCAGAAGAAGTCATGCTTTGCTTTAACGCCTTAAATCCCATAATATTGAAGCATGGAAGGGTCCAAAACGGACCTTGAACTAATTTTGGTTATGAGCTGATAACTGAGCGCAAGTTTAATGTTGCTTGATTGACATTTTCGATACGGGTCTGAAGGTTGTCTCTCGCTTTTCAGTGGCAATAGATAAGGAGAAAGTGGGCATTTATCGAACCTGCTTGTCTGATAAGAAATGCAATTTACTTGACTATATTGAATCGCAATATGCTGCTTTTCATTTCAGATATGCTTATATTCCTAGTTAATCAACATATTTTTTTTTCCATTTTCAGATTACTCATCGATCGCCATCGCCATCGTAGACGACCAGGAATTTTGTGAATGAGTAACATTTGCCTAGAAATCAACCTCAATTAACCCGCACACATACACAGCACCCTAGTCGAATGGTGCACGACGATACGCGATAACAGTGACAGTGGAATCCAAAGTGGTGTTGAATACGTGAAGCGATACCTGGTGACTAATAAGAGCCAACGCGCTTTGTTATCGTCGCTTGTATTAAATATATCAGTGTTCTAGAGCGCTATCAACGTCATAAAATACGAGCTCAGTGTTTCTAGTGTTCCGAAATATAAGTAGTGATACCACCTTGAAAATTTTATAAGAATAGTAGTGTACTGAACAAAACAACATCAACGTGAGAAAATAACAACTACTAATTTGTCAACTCTCCCCTCCTATTGGATCGTGTACCTAACCACGCAAAGTGGGCTAAGTGCGGGTGAATCATACTACAATTACCAACCGACCACACCGGCAATAACAGCTCAGAGTCACAACACCAGTCTTGTGAATGCCATCGTACCGACAAATGTGTTGCACTTCTGCAACTCGTTTCGCGCATTCAGAATATGGCTTTAAAGTCCACCACGGCAGCAAAGCGTTACCAACAACAACACAGGCATTCGGTTAAGACTTTCAGCATCGACAACAACCGCAGCAGCAACGATGGTAGTAGTTGTAGTGATCGCAAAAAGTGTGTTCACCTGAGTTCCAGCATCAGTGTATCATCGGTTCGCGCATGGACGGCATTCGTGCTTTTGCTGAGTGCCGCGATTTGTGCGGTTAACGGACAGTACCACACGACACGCGATCCACGATGGTATTCTCGCGAAGGAGACTACAGCTACCATCTGCCCAACCCGGGAGATCCCGACTATAGGTATGTTTGAATTGGAATGTTGTTACTTTAAATTTTAGAACACTTGTTATTGATCTCTTGTTGCATTGCTTTCAATTGAAGGAGTTTGTTTGGAACCAGCTACGGGTGAGTTGGTTATGACTCCATATGATATCAGCATTTTATTTTATCACTCAATTGTACAACATCCTCATTGGTAGGGTAATTCGCCAGTTATTGCACAGCTAAGCACGTGCTTTCTGTTATTTTGCGATTTAACCAGATTGATTTTTTTTAAGTATTGAACCTTTGAATGTGATTCATTAAGCATTTCTAGAGATCATCAACAATTTATATTGGTAAAAACATTGCGTATAGTAAAACTTTTGAATGTTGCTCAGAGCTTAATTTGTGCACTCATCATTTGCTTAGAAATTGTATTATTGAACACTATGTATATAATTATTGCACACCTATAAAGTATGGCTAAATGCATCTTGGAATGACATTTTTCAGCAAAAATAATTATTCAGTGATTCTGTTAGATGATGAAGCGTAACTTTTCGGTATGTTGTACTTCCGATGTCAGTTATTTTATTGATTCTAGTGAACCCTGCAATAATCGAAGCAAAAGGAGACAATAATCCAGGAGTCCACATGTGATCCAATTATTGAACACTTATATTTTTCTGTAATGTTTACAAGGTTTATAGATGTATTATTGCAATAAATCGTTGGATAAAAGAATAACCAACATTTCCCTATAAATATTACGTAATTTAATTCTAATTCGAGCTAGTAATAGCTTATTTTAAAACTGAGGTTGAATAATTTAGAAATCGCTTGAAATCGTATGCACAATGTCAAAAATATTTAAAACAGTAGACTTGGAGACATACTTCAAGTCTCCGCGTACATCGTACGGGTTAGGCAAAAATGTGCGTTCTATCTTTAAAAACTGGCCCTTCGCTCATTTTCAATTTCTATTCAATTTTCATACTGCCGTACTCTAACGGAACTATCCACCTACCCTCTTCTAAAGATCATTCTCTAGCTAATAAATCATCGAACTAAAGCTTCATGTTAGCATTTCCAACCAACTCCATTTAAAACATGTTTTTTTTTCTAATGGTGATTATCAAACATATTTTATTATTGAACATTTGATCACTGATAAGCATGTCATCATGATTGGTAAACGTTATGGTCATGGATAAATACTGTACAGTAAACTATGTAAAGTGTGCAATAACTGGCAAATAACCCTTGTTATAAGAAGCGTCAACAACAAGAGGTTTTCCTCAATGTTACTTATTTTTAATGAGAAATGAACTTGAACCAAGCAGCGAAACACACATGCCTAGTGTTCAGAACCCTAAGAGCGGAAATGTGATGATTGATTCTCGCTATCGGGTTTCTTTTTGAATTACTGTTTCCTTCCTTCCTATTTAATGACCTGATAAAAGGTTATATATTACAGTTTTGTTAAGGTTGTATTTACTAGCAAAAACAACAGCATACGCACCGAGAAATGTTAAACCTGGCGAGCTATTAACACAACGTAAAATCAATAAACAGAATCAATCATTGCAGGTTTGTTTTTATAATTGACGAATTTCACGCTAACTCGACAAAGGAATTGGCAGCACCCTCTCAGTTTTCAATGAAACTTTGTAGGTGTGTAGATTTCGTCTACTTAAGCAACTTTGCATACTTATTTTTTTTAAACGCTAGACCAACATTTAAAAAGGACGGAACTTGTTTTATTAATACTTTCTTCAAAAAATTATAACTCAATAATGTCTAGTCCTACAAAAATGATGCCCAAAAATGATTTGTAGATAAATAAATTAACTTACATAATAAAATACAAGAACATTAAAAATGTTATTGCTACACTGAAGAAAAAAATGTTTAAAATTTAAAATTAAGGTTTCTCAAAAATACAATTTTTTAAAGATCGGAAAATATTTCTACAGATTGGCAGACCATTGATCTATAACTTGTTCATATATCTCAAGATATTATCTCTTTAAAAGAAAAAAACTTTTTCGTGCTCGCACTGAATAAAATCAATGATTTTTTTTAGTGTAGACATGAAAAATATTGAAATTTTGAGACTCATGTGAAACTCTCAACTACACTCAACAAGCTATAAATGAAAGGTACACCAAAAAAGATATTGAAGACGTATTCAATCCTAATGTGAATGATATAGAAAATTTAATTTTAATGTTATGTTTAACTGGCAGAGTATGAAAAAATGGTTTTCTTATTTCATATAAATTTTTGTGAATGCTCCTTTGTTGAATTAGAATATTTTTTAGCTGCAATTTGATTATCGGCAATAGGCTGAAAACTGTGAAATTTTTGTGTGCCAGATATCGCCTTTGCGTGGTGAAACAAATCTTCTAGTTCTTCTGACATTTTTTTCGTATTGCTCAGTAGATATACATATAACAGAAATTCAATTTTGTGAGGCTTTTCTCTGTTTGTTTAACTGCCCAATCGTAGAGCTCTCGTGGGGTTGTAATAGTATTTCCGTATTCTTGGGCAAGGCTTACTCTTGGTGCCATTCGTTTTAAAGTTCCAAAAATAGCATCACAGGGACTTTTGCAATGAGATGTTGCAAAGAAATGCCAATCTGCTTCCAATTTGTGCATTGATTTGAAGTAACATAGACTGGCAAAAAAAAATCTGTTCTTATAATGAGCAGCTGACATAAATGTAATTTTGGAGAAATCTATTGATAGTTTCAAGAATTCGATCAGTTACGAACAATTGAATTGTTATTAAACGTTACAGTAATTTACTTTCTCACTGTCACTGTTTCTACACTACATTGAATAGGGTTGTATCTACATCTTCACTTAAATAGCAAATAATGTATACCTACAGACAGACTTGTGGTCGTACCTACATCGTACCTTTTTTGTACCTACATCTTAAACGGGAAATAATATATATTTTCTAGGTACATTTTGTGACATTGAAACTGGTTTTCTCACTTGTTAAAAATATCTTGTTTGCGATTTATGTGATTTGATATATCGACACCCATATTTACCATAACATGTTCCATCCATATCTCCGAAACTAGTTGACCCTTCCTTAATATTCAAAAGCTTTATAAAAGGTCATTTTATTTTTCATTTGGAGTTTAAATCAGACGTGAAACACGTCTTTCAAAATTTTTAAATTTGTCGTCCCTACCCTGAAAAAAATCATAGATTTTATTCAGTGCGAACACGAAAAACTTTTTGTTGCATAACTTTTTTACTTTAAAAGTACCCATCTTGGGATGTATTAACGAGTTGTAGATAAATGGTATGTCTATCTTTAGAAAAAGATTCAGATTTAAAAAAAAAATGTGTTTTTGAGAAATCTCATTTTTAAGTTTTGAAAATTATTTTTTTCAGTGTAGAAAATAGACTTTAATTTCTTATATTTTTTTTTTTACAAAAGCTAGTTTATTTTTCTACAAATCATCCTTGGGCAACATTTTTGTAGGACTTGACATTATTGAGTTATAATTTTTTGAAGAAAATGATGACAAAAAAGTTCTGCCCTTTCCAAATGTTGGTCTAGATTTTTTTTAAAACAAAATAAGTATGCAAAGTTGCTAAAGTAGACGAAATATATACACTTACAAAGTTTATTGACATCATTTGTGTCAAACATTTGTCGAGTTAGCGTGAAATTCTTCAATTCTAAACTATAGATGTTATTTTAGCAAACGATTTCAGCCTGTTTATCATGATTATGTGAAAATGCGCAGATAACTTGTGGACGTAGATTTTTTGCCAAGCCTAAAATAATATGTGGACTCGAAAAAAACACAAATTCGATGATTACGAACACACTTAGAAAAAATCATGTAAATTTAGGTGCTCTGAGACGGACATATACGAGCGTCAATTTTGACATAGAATTGAGTCATAGCAAACGCAATATTTAACTTAACTTACATGATATAATTGTTTATGTCTGATCCTTTACACTTGACGGACATTTTACACGTGACGGAATCCATATTTTACCGAAAGGATCAGACGTAAACAAATATTTCATGTAAAATTAAGTGTCCCCAGACTGAAAAGTTTGTTACTCGACGAAAAGTACGCTTGATTGAGTTGAATTTCACGTCTGTTATGACTTAAATTTATGTCAAAATTGACGCTCGTATATGCCAGTCTCAGAGCACCTAAATTTACATGATTTTTTCTGAGTGTGTTAATCAAGCAAAATGTGATTTACAAAAGCTTGTTCAGTTTTTATTGAGACAAAATGTTTGCTCGATGGTAGTTTCCGTGAATGAATATTACGATGCAGAGCGTACACGAGTGCAAAACGTACACACTTAGAAATAACTAATTTTACACGTGACGTATTCCATCTTTGACATAAAAAATGAGACGTAAACAAACATGTCATGTAATATTAAGTGTTTCTTGACTGAAAAGTTCGTTGCTCGACGAATAGTACCTTTGATTAAGCTATATTTCGCAACTGTTATGACTCAAATTTATTTCAAAATTGACGCTCGTATATGTCACTTTCAGAGCACCTACATTTACATGAATTTTTCTAAGTGTGTATCAGTCCTTTTGAATTGGGTTCTTTAATTTTGAAAAAATATACCGGGTTTTATATATCATCTGAAAGAGCTTCGTTTTCTCAGCACAGCGATATTTTTTTCGAACCTACACACTTTCATCTCGATTTTTAAATCAAGATTTAAAGCAAAATAATAACTTCACTGTTTGACACTAAACTAACAAACCGAGCTCCCATATAAAGTGACACCGAGGGGCGCTAATAAGATGATTTTTGCAAATGTAATCGTTCTTATTTAAAATAGTTCCAGTGAACCAAAATTGATGAAATTTTTGGTTTGGGTTCCAGTTTTAATGCAGATTACGAATATGCATTTACCTCAATACCCTTAAAGAACACAATTAGAGCTACACACTTAGAAAAATTCATGTAAATTTCGGTGCTCTGAGAGTGACATATACGAACGTCAATTTTGACATAAATTT